GGGGGGGGAGGGGGGGGGAGGTTGTTCTATGCCCGACTTCTCCTAAAAGAAGATTTTCATCACTATTTTCTCCCGAGTGTGTAAACCGAAACCCAGCACTTTACTGAAGTCGTGTGGCGTCTCCAAATATTACCAGACCGGAAGTGTCAGGCCACTTGTCGACTTCCGGTGCGCGACTTGATCACAAATTCACGAAGTCTAAATAACCGCTCCAAATACCCCCCTCCCTCCCCCACAACACACACCACACACATTTTTTATCTTTTTTTTTTTAACAAACCCATTTTATCGATGAAGCATGGGGGTTATTCTTAAAGAAGTATTTTTAGCTCAATAAGAAAAATGTACCAAAGTCTTATTCCTAAATGGTGTAACCTTAACTTATTAAGCTTATGTTTACTTGAAGTTGGTAAATATAGTGCGGCCGTGGAGCGACACGGGCTTAATTAAATTTATGACCAAACGTATTAATTTGAACGTTGATGGGTAACCTAACGAAAACTTAAATGATAACAACCACTGGTTGCCGATGATGGGCGTGTCGAGACTGGGGTTTTCTGGCGTCGATTTTCCTGATTTCCGTTGTCCATCATATCACTCAAACCCTTTAATCAAGCCATAAATCAGACTGACATGGAATGGGAATCGGCAGGGAAATTTTACGGAAATTTTTTTTTTACCAAAAAGGTTTAAGAACCTCTCTACAGTAATGTGCCGCTTAGTGATTTCATGGGGTTGGGGTACAAGAAACATAGGGTTGGGAGAGGGGGGGGGGGAAGGGCCAGCCCCCCCGGGATTTAAAAAAAAAAAAAAAAAATGGGGGTGGGGGAAAAAAAAAAAAGGGGTGGGGGGGGGGGGGGGGGGAGTGCCAGCCCCCCCGGGATTTAAAAAAAAAAAAAAAAAAGAAACACCCAGCTAGGAGGTGAGATATTTTTCTTAATGGCCGAGATAGTGACGGCAACGAGCCTGTTTTTTTTTATGTCCCCAGTCAACATTATCACGACGATACGATAGACCCACGGCTCTTTGTGCGCCTGGAAGGTGTGCGACCTTGGCTGATAAACACCCCAGCGTTTAAACACTGATGGGCATAAACGCTGAGCGTTTAATGTTGATGGGCAACTTAGGGGTGATACGTTCCGAGCAGTTATTGTTACCTTACGGGTTTTGATGGTCGGGTAAGGGAGTGTGGGGGGGGGGGATGGAGGCAACTACTCGCCTGGTGATAAAATACAGTGACATAATCACATACGGATGAGAGCATTTTTTTATATTTTTTTTTGTTAGCGCTTCTCATTTCAATCGAGAAATTATGAGTGTGGATATTTTTAACCAGCTGTAAACGTTGGGTGATGGTGGAAATGGGTAAGAATTTGCCTAATGAACCGTCAAGTACGTTAGAGCTCAATACAATATGGGGAGAAATAACTTAGTTACAAAGTTTTGTGTAAATGAAGAACCGGTCTGCTAAAAGAGAGAACATTTGAGTACTTCATTTATTGCAATAACTGCAAGCATAATCGTTTGACATCAATCATGTGGGGTCCATGAAGAAACCCCACATTGTTGCGTGTTTGGGGGGGGGGGAGGGGGGGCAGAATATAAACGATAACACGGCCAATATTCAAGGACAGCATTAAACCTACATGGCCGTACAACAACGTTGGGTCATTGGGTTAAGCCCTGCTGACGCCATATTCATGAACGAACAGAATCTTCAAGTTATATGAGCCGTTTTTTGTTTTTTTTTAACTGCTCACTCGGCCAAAATGGGTTCGGTCCAACAAAAAAATAAAACAAAAAAAAATGATAGACGTTTGAATAAAAGCACAGAGACACCGTTGCTCTACAGCGGGCACAGCGGGAACAGGGCACCAATTATGCCTCGATAAGACAACCGCCCTGGCACGAATGTGATGTTTCCGCCAACGACGATGCATAATGCCCGGCGTGTCGCGGGCACAAGAACGGACCACTTCTGTGTTTCGCTTATCACCTAAGCTCGAGCGCGACCGAAGCTGGTCCCCCACAAATAAAAGACGTCTGTTTCCTATTATTTCCCCTCTCCATTTCCGCTTCCGCTGCCCCCTGGGCAAATGTTACAGCGAGGCAGTCGTAGACTCAATGTAAATCCCATTGAAACCAGGCCGTGCTCGCCTGGGGTTGCCCAATCAGGGGGATCGCCCCGCCCACACTCCAGCCTTTAAGAAGCTCGCAAGAGGTATACGCGCCTCACAACTCCAAAACTGTGGCGCGTAAATTTCGTGGAAAAATTGCGAATATTTTTTTTTATTTTTGGAGTGAAAACTTTTTGTAACACGTGCCGCTCTGGCGGGCTTTACTCATTTCATTGCAGTCTTATGAATTATTTCTGTATGGTTTAGCTCATGTACCTGGGCTGGCTACGTCTGAGATCCTTACTTATGGATTGTTGCTACTTGGATTAATAACATTAATTAACCTTTCCTCTCGACGTTTACATTTTGTGTGTAGAGCTCATTGATGAATCACCTGAATTTACCACAAACATCAAGAGTTTGAGACCTGCTGTATCCAGGGATCCGGTTTAAAAAAAAAAAAAAAGGTGGTTTCCGTCGGTGGCGTCCTTTTCATTATTTTAAAACACCAACTAACCCCCCCGGTCATGGCGTCCAACTTTAGCGAGTTCATGAACACCACACCACTGGCCCAAAACAGCACGACGCCCGTCATGATGTCCATGCCACCGCTGCCAGAGTACCTGATCAGGACGAGGTTCATCTGTGAGCACATCCTCATGCCGCTCATCTGCAGTCTCGGGATCTGCGGGAACGCGCTGAGCCTGTGCGTCTTGACCAGGAGAGAGATGGCGGCAGCCACGACATGTTTCCTGACGGCCATGGCCGTATCGGACCTACTGTTGCTGATGCTGCAGGTCCCAGCATTTTTCTCGCTCAACGCTAACATCGCTTCCAAGGACTCGTTCCAGTCGTTCATAAGGTTCTACACTGTCATTAGGTAAGTCGAGGAAATACGGAAATTAAATCTAAATAGAAATAAAATAGTTTGCTCAACGTATTCGTTGTTTTTTTTTGTTTTTTAAGGAACATAAATTAATCTTCGCCTCCCCCCCCCCCTTTTTCAGAAGAGCTTTTTATTAAATGTTGGACACAAGTCAAATGATTGTGTGAAGAAATCATGATTGAACACAAATTAACTGCGCCACTGTCACACTTTCATCAAAGGTTTATCTGAGACGGCAGTGTGTTATTATATTTATTGCTGTGTGTAAATAAATGTATTGCTAAGTATTAGGCGACTATACAAAAATACATTTATAAAAACGGATGACTGAGGCTTCTACATAGTCTGTTAAGATTTGATGAAACTTTTTATTAGCAACAGAGTTATCGAATGCACGCCTAGATTATCGATTTCAGATTCTCAAAAGTTAACTATTGAAATCAACATTGACGGTAATATATGGGGAGAAATATCTATTCAAAACATCATCAGCCATAAATGACCGCGTCTTCAATGATGGCTACCAGCATATATATATTTGGTGCAGGCATGTTTTTTTTCTCTTTCTTTTAATGACTGTCTCGACCGACAGGTAAGAATGCCAACAGTTAAACGACGGGACAATAAAATGCCATACTTTTTCTCTTCCAGGTACGTCATGAACAACGTGTTTATCACCTGCACCGGATGGTTAACGGTGGCCGTGACAACAGAGAGATTTATCTCCCTCCGGTTCATGTTCCACCCCAGGCTTGTGTGCACCATCCCCCGGGCCCGCCTGGCCATCATCGGCATCTTCCTGCTCTCGTTCACTTTCCACTTCTCCAAATTCTTCGAGTATGTACCCAACCCTGACCTGAAGAGCCCCAGGGTCCTCCTGACCACCTACCTCGTCCACACGCCGTCCTACGAGACGTACGTCCACGTGGCCAACATCGCCCTGGCGGCCATTATCCCCGTGTTTTTGCTGGTCGTGGCCAACTCCTTCCTCATCTACTTCTTGGCCACGCACAGGCGCCGCATGCTCCGCCACAAGGCCACCGCGTCGGCCAACTTGACCTCCGTGGACATGCTTCACGTCAGCGCCATCGTCGTCGCCACCGTCCTCGTCTTCATCCTCTGCCACTCCGTGGGGGTGTTTCTGGCACTGACCATCGCCTCCACGGGCCGCAACGAGGTGTTCTTGCGACCGGCGTACATGGCGCTCAACAACATCAACACGGTCCTCGTCATGGTAAACTCCAGCGTCAACTTCCTGCTGTACTGCGCCATCAGCAGAAAGTTCCGCAAGACCTTCCTAAACATTTTCCACAGGCGCCTGAGCCGCAGGGACACCTGGACGACAGCCATGCCACTGAGCGAGAACAGCACGGGTACTGCCGGGACCAACCTCCGCATCACCAACGGAAAGGTCTACACCTCATCGTCCAAGTCGGTGACTTCTAATGGCTCCTGCCACTCCCACAGCGGGTTCAGCGCTACCAGAGCGGACGTTTAAGGAGAAGCGGGGCCACGTGACTAAGAACATGTACTGTCTTCGCCCTCTTCATGCGGTCCAATAGATGCTGCTAGAAACCAGTTAAAAACTGAACGTCAAAACAATTTTTTTTTTTAAACGGTGTACGGCAGACGACCACTGGGATGAATTTGGCAAATGCAAAAGGCCAAACTTCCAAAAGTCAAGGGATGCGGTTTCAATTACCACCCGTCGTTTTCAAACAAACACTTAAGACCGCAGCTGACCCTGTCTCATGCAACAACAAAAAAGAAAAAAACAATATCAAAAAGAATTTGGTTGCAAGGATAACAAGGGCCTTACGGCACGTTCCAGGAGAACATTTCAATGAACAGAGCCCAAGGTGGAAGTGTTCTGCTTTCATATGGTCACTTAAGAAAACAACAAAAAAGGACAAATCATTTGAATCTATTTCGGTGGGGAAAAGCTGAATTAGTACAAACAATGATGACTTAGATTTGCCTTTGAAATGTTTTTTTTTTTAAAAGCACGATATTTTATCGCAACGAAACAATTGTTCAAAGTATGGACAATCTTACAGTATTTAAATAGTCCAGCGATCTAACAATGTAAAAATACCATTCGAGCCCATGCCTTAAGTTGGTCACTATGCAATGATTTTGTTAGACTATTATTAATTTTTATTGTGATAATGATGTCTCTTTCTAGACTAATTCGTGTCTAGTGACAGAAAACTTCTATGTTATGCCAGCATGTCATTTGCAATGTTAATCTTACTTGTACAATGCGTGTTATCTGTGAAAATGATTAATGTCTTACAGAAAGCTCATAAACATTTGAAACCCAAAGGGACAGACTTGACGGTGACCTACGAATGGGCGGGGGGGGGGGGCATCCACCCCATGCTGCAATTTTTTCTATATATATAGAGGTTGGCATTTTATACCAACTGCCAAGTCTTTACTTTTTTTCATGGAAGGGGGACTGCAAAGATCTTGGCCCACCCCAGGCAGCCCTAACCCTATTTACGCCACTGTGTATATGTCATAATATAAAACTTATCCGATGTTCATATGTATTCTCTCTGACATGCTATAATATATTAATGACATGTGCATTAAAGATATTTCCTGTTGTTAACAACAGTCTTGCTGTCTATCTTTGCCTAGGTACAGATGATCATTTTGTGAAGGAAGAATGAGAGGCAAGGCTGAGATATGATTAGACAGAAAGAATTGTTCTCATTTTAATTACACCTCAATTCCAAAATTTTGTGAGCCTGGAGGATTCTTGTGTTGAAAATTAAGTATGTATTGTTCACATTATGTATGAACGTTTGTATGGTACTAGCTGTACATAATGATGATTGTCAATGTGTTTATGTGATATAAAAATCATACTGCCCAATCGAATATAAAAGGGTAATATGTGATATTAGAGTTAATTCAAAGGTTAAGAAAGAACAATATAGATATGGCATTGAAGTCTATAAAAAAAATTTAAAAAAAGGGTAGCCTACGCTGGGCAGGACATTTAGAAAGAATGCCAAATGACTGGGTGAAGAGGGAACATCACCAAAACCCCAGATTCGATGGATGATGTGGAAAAAGATCTACATCAGCTGGGAATCCAAGCGTGGAAAAGAAAAACATTCGTTAGGTCTGAGTGGAAGGGGGTGGTGGGGCAGGCCAAAGCCCTAAATGGGCTGTAGCGCCACAGTGATGGATGGATGGAATGAAGTCTGTAAATCTATGGGGTCATAGTCTAGTTTCAGTCACAAGGTCATATCGTCAGTAAAGGCAAGTATTTACAATCCTATTTAACAATAAATAGCGTTGTTGTTGGTGGGTTTTTTTTTGTGTTTTTTCACCACTATTCCAAAACTGTGTAGTCCTGAAAAAGTAATCAACAAGATTTTCAATTCATTTCCGTTTCTCCCCGATTTTAATTTCAAAAGCAGACAAATCCATGAGAGCAAAACCTCCCCTCACATCCCCTCCCCTTCCCATATGATAAAAGGAATGTTATTTTGTGAATGAGAAATAAAGTTGTACAAAATTTCATGTAATAAAATGTGTGTTGGCTGTGATTCTTTGCCAGTTTTGTTGTTTTATTTTGTTCACAGTCAACAAACAATTTATAATTCAGCCTTACTAAAACAAATGTCACCAGAATCTAACATCTTCATATCACTCTAAAGATCTTTTATTCATCCCTCAGGTTTGTGGTCAAATAATTCAATTTTCTGATAACAACTATTAATTAAAGCAACATGTTTGGACAAACAAAAAAAAATCAGGATTTTAAGTTTTGGTCTAGAACCGTGGTTCTCAACCTTCATATTGCCGTGACCCTTTAATTATACAGTTCCTCATTTCCTCATGTTGTGGTGACCCCTCCAGCCATAAAATTAATTTCTTGGCTACTTCATAAATATGTGTTTTCCAATGCTCTTCGGCGACCCCAGTGTAAGGGTCGTTCAAAACCCAAAGGGGTCGTGACCCACAGGTTGAGAGTCGCTGGTCTAGAGGATTAAAATTTGTGGGGGTGACTGAATTCAGTGGTTTACTATTTTTAAAATGATACATGACAAATAATTTTAATGAATCCTAATTTAAGAGATCGTAGGAAATAAACTCCAACGATTTTGCAACCACAATCATACCTGAACATCCTCACAAGACTCCACCTCCCAAATAATTGACTAAAGCAAATAGGACTTTAAGTTTTGCATAAAACTTTGAAATATTTTGAACCACTGAGAGAGAAAACCCATGTAATGCCCTTTAAACTAGATTCCATAAACTGTGCAAGGGTCGCAAGGGCAACAAGAGTGGCGAGAGTGGCAAGGTTGGCAAGAGCCACATTGTTCGAGTTACTGATGTAACTGTGTTAAAGACACACAAAACATTAAAAGAACTATGAGGGGAGAAATTTGTGTTTTTGTTGTTGTTGTATGTTTTTTTTCTCTCTTCCTGTAGCCCCCAAATACTTAAATCAGTAATTCAAAAAACTTAAAACCACAAATGGACAAAGAGGCACAGCTGCAGTTTTCAGAAAGCTCTTCCAAGAATTACTTAGAAGTGCCATTTTAATATATGTGAAAAAGAAGCAAGATTCTTCCAAACCTAATTCCAGCTTCAGTTGCTTTATGCCAGGCCCATAGGTCAGAATGTTCTTTTTTTAAATTTTATATATTGTTAAATTCTGACTTAGAAAGAAATAATTGCACTTTGGTGATTAAGAGATCAGAGACATAATGCCAGTAAATTAGGAACTGAAAACAAATTAAGCAATTTGCATCTGCGCCACCACAATACTATGTAAGATTAGTTCATTATGCCTAATGGTCAAATTTTATTTTAAATTGAACTAACTATAGAATTCTACATTAATGTATTACCTGCAAGTTGGCTGCAGTGGTCTTTGATGATTTGAGTTCAGCCCTTGTTTTCTCCAGTTCTGCACGCAGTTGAGCTGCAGCCTCTTTCAAGTTAGCAAGCTGTCCAGAAGCCGATCCAAGACCTTCTTCACTGTCTTTGACTATTTTTTCAAGTCTTGCCACCTAAAGCAGATTGTTATTTATGTTTTAAAAATGTCTTAAGTAAAACAAAATATTAAAATCAAATTTAAAGCGCAAGATATAAAGAGCTTGCAGCAATACAAATAACAAAAGTTAAACTAAATTTTATTTTAAAAATACATTTTACATATTGTAAAATATATTATAAATAAAGATATAATTTCTCAATTTTTTAAATGAAAGGAATGCTTCTGGAAGTTGAAGGTGGGATGCAGCAAGTTTCTTTTTTTCTTTTTTTTCATAATACTGAATAAGTTTATTTTTATTTATAACAAAATCCAAAAATGTAGTAAAAGGGAAATAACTTCATTTTATTCTGGTGGAAAAAAATACATATAACTGGATGCCTGCAGCATAGGTCAATGTTGAGAGGACGGGTGGGGGGAGTTGTAGATTATCCTCCCCTTCCCCCTGAAATTATTACTAACTACTATTGACAAAAAATTGCTAAATCAAAAAAAACTAAAACCAAACTTAATAATTAATTATTACCTACAAAATTGTTATACAAAATTAAGACAATGTAATTTTGCGAGTCCTCTAGTTTTTAATCACATTACTGATCATGTCACAATGAGGGAGCCCATAAACATAACATTGGTATGGAATTATCTATCTTATAAAATGTTTTTTTTAATGTCCAGGTTGAGAGAAGAATACTGCTATGTCATTTGTTGCTAGTTAAAAGATTTACTCTACCATCTTATAGGTCAAAGTAAAACCAGGGCCTGCCTTGCCATCCTTAACTTTAAATTGGTGACACTTATTTATCCAGCCAGTTTCCCTGTTTGATATCTTCATGGAAAACCCTACCTCTTTTTCAGCATAAGAAAGTTTAGAACTCAAGTCTGATTTGACATGTTCAAGCTGTTGCCTCAGAGATTCCTTCTCAGTTGTAACTTTATTCACCTCAGCTTGATTTTGCTCAGTCAGCTTCTAAAACATTTTTTTTTTAATATATATATATATAACATCTACAATGATTACAACCATATAACTTTTCTTTCTTGACATGGCAACTATATTTTATTTTATTTTTTCAAATTATTATTTAACAGAAACTGCATAATACCAGGAATAATTTTTTTAAACATTTTGAAAATGGAGTGCAAGTCACTAAGAAAATAATCAAAATAGCAAGTAAACCTATGTAGGCTATTATTTTAATTTAGAGTTATCTAAAACATCAAACTTTTATGTATTAATAGACAATAACTGTGAGTAGCTAGGTCTAAATAATTAATCAATATGTATTTGCAAAGCATGTAATTGTTATTTGTCTCACAATTTTCATAGAGGACAATAGATCAGCAGCTGTTTTCCTCTCATGCTCCAGAGCTTCGGAATGTTTCATGGAAGCTTCCTTCAGTTGCTTGGCAGAGTCCTCCTTCAGCTTCTTCTCAAGCCTAACAAGCTCATCTTTCAAAGATTGAATCTGCTTCTCTGACCATTGTTGCAGTGTCTCCTTTTCAACTGTCATATCCTCTAAAGCCTGTGACAACAAAAATGTTTTTCTTAAATGTTACAGTTTTTAATTAGAGAATGAAGTGTTTAAAGTCAAGCTTAATGTTTTATATTGACTGACAAGGTTTAAAGTTCTTGTTGTTTTTTTTGTGTTGTTTTTTTTTACTAACAGAGAAAAAAGATGGTACACACATATTTAACCATTAAACTCTATTTAATTCATTTCATAAACTCATTGCCCTGAAATAATAACACAGATGAGGCCCAACTAACAGCAAACAACATTAACAGTCACAAAGCAGATGTCACCAGAAAGTTGTGTGGCCAAAATTGTAACATGTGGTCTCAGCTGTTGCTGTTTTGGAACTACTTTTTTTTAATGTTGCAATTTATTTCATAAATAGATAAACATTGACAATTATCACTCCATACATTTTTAACCCAAATATGTAAATAGCTTATCTTTTTATTTGATCGTTCTGCTTCAAATCTTGCTACCATCCAATACTTTACAAAAAAATAATTTGGTTTGAATTTCTAGGACATGCCTGGCGCAGGGATTGCAGCTGACTGCTCTTCTCCAACGAAAGTGTTTGGGCGTGAGAATGAAGGGAGGACCTCTCGGCATCAAGCCTGGTCAGCCTTTCTTTCAGTTTTTCAAGCTCTGACTGTAATGATGAGATGATGCTTTCTTTCTGAAGATTGTGAGCTTCCAATTCACCCAACATGGCTGAAGATTAAACACAACTGTTATATGTTTTTACAATCTGTATTAAAGTATTTGTTTCTATTTCATAGAGACCTAGATTGTCTATATATGATGACAGGAAGGTGTCACAATTGGTTTGATTCAAACATGCTTAATTCCTATCACTTCTTCTTATCTTATATGGCCACTTCGATAGCATGTACCCTCTCTTACCTGTAGAATGCAATACTGCATTCCTTGTTAATTCACAGACAGTGTTTTAGTTTCTAATAGTTTAATATTTTCCCATAAAAAAATAAACCTACAAGATTTTTTCATAAGTTCATCATCAAGGTAAGAACAGTGTTGCTTTGACCCAGACAGCTCTGTTTCAGTGTTTTGCAGAGATGTGGTCTTGTCCTTTAATTCAACTCTCAGATCTTCCAGCTAGAATATGTTAAATATGCGAAAACATACAATTAGCATATTAGGAAGAAAATCAATTACCCGTTAGCAGAGAACTATATAAACCAAACGTTCCCAGTTAATGGAATATGTGCAGTTTAAAAAATATAAGAGATTGATTTGATTTGATTTTTTAGCAGCAGCTTAAATGATATTAATCTAAAATAGCTGATATTTCTGTTACCTGCTTCATAAGTTCATTAGAATTGGAGTCTTTGCCAGTCAGTTCTGCTTGAAGTGACCTAAGCTGTTGCCTTGACTGCTCAAGCTCATCCTCTGTGTCTGCAAGTTGATGTACCAACCGATCAATCTGAGCCCTCAGTTCCTTATCACTGGAGCTGAAATCCAGTTTTAATCTGTCTATTTCCTTTCTTAAATCTGCCACCTCCTTGCTGTGCCCTTGAGACTGACTGTGCCGTAGGGCTTCAAGTTCTTTCTCATAAAATGCCTGCGCTTTTTCCATCTTTACAGTGTGATCTTCTGTAAGCATAGACTTCTCGTTTTGTAATTGTTCAATCTGTTCTTTCAGTCCAAGAATCTGATCTCTGAACTTATCCTCAATCTTTGCACACTGGTTTAGCCAAGTGTCATCCTGGTTTCTTTGGAAACTGCGCAAGTCTTCTAAGTCTTTCTGATGTTTGCTTCCCAGTTCTGCCATTGATGTGGCATGCTCAGCCAATATCCTTTCTCTCCAGGAGCTAAACCTTTGAATTTGCTCTTCAAAATCCTTCTTGACTGTCAGTACTTCATGAGACATATCAAAAAGTCTGTTAGCATAAGTTTCTCTCTCTTTCTCCTGCTGTTCCCGGGATTTAGCCTTGTAAGAAGAGAACTGGTCCTCAATTGAAGACTGC